AACCAAATAGTCTAATTTATTAAGTAGATTTTATTTTTTTTTAAATGAAAGAATCCAAATGACCTCTTCTATATTTTCACCCAGCCAAACCGAGGCTGGATTGAATCTATATAGGTGTACTTTTGTAGTCTGGCCAATATCATCAACGCCTCAACGGGGCAAAGGTACCGAGGTACTACTGTGATGCCGCCTGATGTTGGGGTACAGAGCCTACTAGTACTCTCCTGTAACTGTAATGCAGCCTGTTGTTGGAGCTGCACCGATCACATATAGGGATGAATTGGGATTGGATCCGTCTAAAATCAAACACGGATTGTCCGATTTGTCACATTTTAATTTGAATGAAATTTGGCTTATGCTAATGCTTATGCTGATGTGTTCTGAAAGAAAAACATTGTTCCTTCGCTGCTGAAGTAATACTGCAGAACAGGGCGATGAATACATTATTATTGGATATGAATGCAAAACAGATATCTCGAATTCGAATTCACAATCAGATATCTACTAGACTTTAAAGATAATATATACCTATTTGCTTATCGGTAGATTTTTTTGTAGAACAAAATCATTATATTACATGTAGAGAATATGATTATACAGCACTTGTAGATAACGACCACTCATAGAATAACATATTTAATAGATATTTGAATAACTAGATATTTCAAAGATGAATAAAACTATTAATAAATATATATTTATCAATAAGTAGTTTTAAAATAATTTCATAAATACATGAACAACTAAAGTGATTAAAATAATATGATTAGTCATATTAACATTAACGTTTATATATCATTAACAACAATAATATAATGTTATTAGCCATATAGATAAGTTCTAAATATTTTCAATGATGCGTAACATTTGTTATATTAAAATTGATATATTTACATTACTAATTAGTCGTAGATATGAGTTTTAGATGGCTTTATAGGGTACTTTGTTGTTCGTGGATACGTTGTGTTGGATATTGTTTCACATCTTTTTCCTATACGGATCTAGAATCAAATATAGAAAAATCATAAAAAAATACAGATATATCTAGGAGCGGATGTATATTCATTGTAGGGAGTGTGGCCACACCCACACACAAAAAACAGCTGATACCATATATCCACCCACATGTCAAAAATCTTTGCACTCACAAGATAAACGCAACTCCTGTAAATTTGTTCTAGCTTTGTTTGTAGATATATTCAGTCAGTATTCATATTAAAGTCAAATATGAATACGAATGTTTATATTATATTAACATTAAAACAAACATCGGATCTTTTAACGTCCGGATTCATCCCTGGAACTGGAAGGGAGGTGGAGGGTGAGAGAGAGCCTAGAACTGGCTGCTGCCGCTGCAACGGAAGCCAGGCGATCGAGGCAGGGCACTAGTGCAGGCACGGGCACATGTGACATGTGTGCGGCCGGAGTGGTTGCTGCCACGGCAAGGCATCAGAATCAGATTCAGTCGGAGTACTTGCTTGCTTTTGCTCACACGTTGATTGATCCATGGCAGGAGAGGAGAAATGCTCCATTGCAGCAGCTTTTTTACTTTACTCTATACTACACTTTACGCGGTCCATTTTCTTCCTATCGTTAGAAATAAATAAAATAAACGAGAAAACTATACTCCCTGTTCCGTCAAAAAAAAAATCTGAAACTAAACTAAATAAAAAAACTAGTTTAACTATGTTTATGGAAAATACCGTATCAATATTTATATTTTTAAATAGTTTTAGCACGAACATGTATCTTATATTGTATAGATTCGGCTCAACTTAAGATTGTTTTGACTCGTCGAAAAATACGAACCATTCACACTCGTTTTGGGTCCGGTGTTGGACTAGATACTTAGCAGTACGTAGATGGTGGATTAGTGTGGTGAACTTCTTTTTCTGATGGATGAACGTGCATGTGGTTAGTGCTGGGGCGCTACCAGGGGCGCAGGAGGCAGGAACGGATAGTGCAGCATACTTCCTTCGTTCATCCTCAATTTTGCTTGTCACAGGCGAGGCACTGAACGGAGAAATAGAACAGTGCAGCGAAGTGAGTGAACGTTTTGAGCGCGTTTTGAACACTATTTACCAAATAAAAACGAATATAGTAACTTCAAAATCCAAATTCCTACAACTAAACACTGCCTGAGTGATGGAGCGCGTGGGTGCACGGACGGACACGACGGACGGACGGATCGGAGGCGGGGCCGGACCCCGGCCGGATGCCATGCATGCGTGCGGCCTGGCGCACCGCACGTGTGATCACATCAACTACTCTACTCTATGGTGGTACGAGTCCGTGCTCGATCTCTGCATGCAGAGACACAGCACAGCATGCACACGCCCACACTAGCCTACCTGCCCTTTTTCAGAGTGAAACTCGATCACAAGCTCTCGATCGCCACTTCACATTCATGCATGCCATGCAACTCACACGAAACAGGCTCAATCACTTTTAAGGAACACATGAAAACATGATCAAAGCTAGTATATAGTTGAGGCTTGTGATCAAAGCTAGTATATATAGTTGAGGCTCTGCCACGCCAACCTTAGACATAAAAAAGACTTCTTCCTCGCACATAACGCCATGTTCTACAGCACACACTTCAGCAGTACTTTTCAGCAAACGAACAGTGTTTTTCTCTTACAACATTTCAGCATAAGCCAAATTTCAGCGAGACGAATGCATTGCATGGTTCTAAGGAAGCATCATGTTACTATAATGGTAGTACTAAATAATCTGAGTCCTTTCCGTTTCCCGCTCATGATATGATGATGTGTGCGCGCATGCATGTGCATCCACAGTTGACTGAGTCGCATGCATGCAGCGTGCGCTCTCAACAATCTCCCTCCAGCTCCGGCTTATTAGGAGTGGACTACAAGGAAGGAACAAAACACCGAGCGAGAGCCCTTCTTCCACTAATCCCCTTTGTTGTTGTTGTTGGTATGGAGAGAAGTACAACTGAAGAATCATACCATGCATGCATCTGCAGCCATGCATGTGAGGCTCTGCCACGCCAAGGACAGATGCAGTTGCCACCCCATCACTACACTGCAGTAACCATCCGATCCGGCAAGGCAACACGCTTGGCTTGGCCATCCAGGAAAGCCTCTTTATCTCTTGCTGCAAAATGTATCAATGGCAGTTACTCCCTGATGTCAACCGCTCAGCAAACCACGCACCCCATGCATGCCCCCACACCCCACCCCAGCCCAGTCCCCCTTCTCTTCTCCCTGCAATAAAAACAGAAACAAAATTTCAAAAGAAAAAATAAACAATGTCCGTCGATTATATACCCTTCCTCTTCATGTGAGCACCTTCCACACCACATGCTAATGCTGCAGAGTCAGGTGCTCATCAGAGCTGATGACATTCCACCCAGCACTGCTGAAGTGCTGATGCACCAAGATCGGATGTTCAGAGTTCACATTTGCACCTCACCTACCACTGGGATCACCACATTGCTTGCCTGCTGGCATTATGGTAAACAGGATGCAGGGTTCAACAAACGCATCGCAGAAAAAGGATGTCAGATGTCAGAAACATGGTAGTGCTACAACCAAAATGCTTCAGGTGATGCTTGTTGCTAGCTATTCAGTGACTGTCCAGAATTCAGAGGAGCAACCAACGATTGTAGCTAGCTTACAACACCTGCAATGCCATTTGTTACTCTGAAAACCACCTCTTTTACACCTCTCTTTTTTACTTTCCAAAGTGCCCGAAAGCTCACAAGTCTTCCCTGTTCCTTTTTTGCTTGTGGATCCAGCCCTGAACTGAACCATAATCAGCTTATATTATGGGCCCAAAAGGGTCGTCCATGGATACATTTGGGATCATTTTCTAGGTAACAAAAAAAAAAATGTAAACCAAAAAGATGTTGGGTTACACCATGAAGACTTCGTTGTCGGGGTAAAGAAAGTACACGGCGCTTCAAAAGTCAATAAAACTAAAGGATAAATGTTTTCAGTAAAAAATTGGTAAAAGTCAGATAATGTAGGAACCCTTATAAAAAATAGTGCGATTAAGAATTAGAGAGTCAGACAATGTGCAAAAATTACAGGGCCAATGAGCTCAAGAAATTATTAAATCCAAAACCAAGACATCTCAACCATACATTTTTGAATGTGGGGGTGGATGGGGTTGGGGGTTGAGTAAGAACAAAAAACTTGGGATTCTGAGTAATGTATAAAAATCGTTTGCAAAACTGAGAATATTGCATGCAACATTGAACACCTAGAGAAAACATTGAATATTCACATCTATAGTAAAAAAGAGGACCTCAGTGCACCAATTTAAAAAAAAAGTGAAATAAAAAAAAAGGGAAAAGGGGGAATGAATATATTAGGAACAATAAGGATATGTATATGTAGACATCTCATACAATTTAGAAGCACTGACATACACTAGGTTCCTTCTCTTAGAGGAAAAACATATACATTCAAATTGATACATCAACTTTCGAGCGCTAAAAAGTACCTGATACAGAAATAAAGCAGGACCTTGTATCCAGTTAGTGTGAAGTTATCTGCATTATCTTAATATAACTAAATGTCAAAATTGCTTCATGGGCTGCCTTCAGTGAAAGAACGGGCGCATAGCTTGGGATAGTTGTCAGTCAAATGTTCACCCATGCAATCCACTGTAATAAGGTTCCATCCAAGTCAGAAACAGAATTTCCTAAAAAAAAAGAAAAAAAGCCATAAAGCTTAAAAAATTAGGTATAACCTATTTCGACCAAAAAATGTCCAAATTCAGTTTTAAAAAATTGGCAATGCCATTGATATAAGATCTGTCATGGTGGGGATTGCATAATCACCAAAATGGGCAGCGTCAGTAATTTCACCAGGATATCAGCAGCACTGTAAACTTTTTGGATTAGGATCAGTCTGTACCGTACCAGCTCAGAACAAGAGAGCTTGGTAGTATAAATGACACTTGTCCACAGAAACCTCAAGTACCGCAGTATGAGCTTTGATAGAAGCAATTATGACGAGTGGGTTTCGAGTTCAGAGTCCATCGCCATCATATGTTGCCCATCTTTCAATTACAACCTGAAACTCATTATCCCTTTTCCTGACCTGTGACCATTGGAAATTAAAGATTTGCTAAGCAAGCTGCACTGGACCACATAGAGTATAGACTCGACATTTGTATATCATACAGTTCGAATAAAGATAGTGGCTAGTGCAGTAGTTAAGCTTAAGATGTCAATATGTCATGCTTCAAAATGACATTTACAGGTAAAGCAAGCAAGAAATATAGGTACAGAAGGAACTGAAATGAACGGTCCTAATTAACTTTTAATGACATTTACAGGTAATGCAAGCAAGAAATATAGGTACAGAAAGAACTGAAATGGCCGGTCCTGATTAACTTTTCTATAGATCATATTATTATCTGTTTGTACCACCAAAAGTATCCCTGAATATGTCACATCTCAAAACTTGATACATGGTTTGTAGAATGTTTACCTCAACCAGCGGCTTCTTGCCATGCAGTAGCATATCCACGCTCCTTTCTGTCTGCACAAAGAAAATCAGCATTGTGTGTCAGCATCTGCACAAATGGACAACAAGAAAAATAATACAAACCATTTTCTGAGAGATCCCATTTAGGTTTCATCCTAGGCTTTGAAGCTCATATTGGTTGGTGAAAGAAAAAACAGCAACAGTGGTGGAGAAGAAATCTTAAATTCAGCAACCATGATATCACAAAGGCCAGGTAACCATAGTTAAGAACGAACAATGCTGCAATCAAAATATGCAATCATTTTTATTAATTGAAAATGCAAGGATCTTTGAAAAAGTAGAGAACCAATGGAATCAAAGTTGTGTGCAAACACTTAGTACAGTTCCAAAGACTCCAAGTACCGTCCTCAACAAGTCAACATTATCCTAAATTTTGTTTTTTTTTCTGTTTAGTCAAGGGTGCACATGTATTCTAAGAACCTCCGGTGTGTGTGTGTGTGTCTATAAGGATTTGTACCCCTTTATCTTTTTCAATATAATGATAACTGTCTTAAATTTAAGAAATGCAATATCACTGCACACTTTCCCAGCATCCTCATCACTTTATTGAGTTAAAGTGGTGAGTTAGACTCGTAACCGTACTTCGACTATTTAGCATATAATATAACATAGACATACCCGATGTGTTACCCAGTAATGTCGCTCCCTCATCTCGATAAGGAAAGGGAATGTTGGAGGAGCTTTCCTCTCCAGAATACTTTTCTGACTTCGTCGAGCACGAGCCTCATCGTCTCCAAGAGTAACAGTTTCTACACCTCCAATCTGTTTTCCAGAAGATAAGAAATTTCACTGAACTGGTGTAAATAATATTACTTTTAAGCTTAATCACTTCTTTCAGTAAAATATTTGACACATGGACTCTCTAATTAGGTATGGACGCAAGAAATTTTAGATGGGAGCTGTCATGCTGTTATATTGACAGCTACTCTCCTCAATAAGCAAAAGTAACAAAAGAACTTCTGATATCCTCGTAGAATGACAGCAATTTTTTCATCTCAATGATCCATTTTTTTTACCAATGTTTAGACTATGCAGGTATAGTGGATTTTTCATTTTTTTTATTGGCAAAATTGTGATAATGTCATAATGATAGCATACCAAGTCAGATAAGGTTGGGTTCTTAATGATGTTTGCAAGTCGTTCTCCATGAGCAGTGCCAATAAGCATAACACCCCTTTCTGCAATTGATCGACAAGCTTGTGCTTCCGCTTCAGTTCCGATCTCATCTACAATAACCACCTCAGGCATATGGTTTTCAACTGCTTCAATCATCACCCTATGCTGCATTGATGGTTCAGGTACTTGCATTCTTCTTGCTCCACCAATCGCAGCATGAGGAACATCCCCATCCCCACCAATCTCATTACTTGTGTCCACAATTACCTGCCCTAAACACCAGTACCATAAAGAATATATAAGGTACAAGAAGTGCATTGAACTGGAAATGGAAAGATACAAGAAAGTAACATTGTTTAACATACCACTCTTTTCTGAAATTCATCTGCTAAAACACGTGCAATCTCACGCATAACAGTCGTCTTGCCTACCCCAGGCCTGATTGAAGAAAAGAACAAAATATTGAACAACAGCTAAACTTTTGAAATTTATTTGGAAAAAAAAAACAAAGCAAAAACAGAGTGTTCAACTCCTATTGCCTTATTATCACATACATATTCCTGAATAGAACATTTTTCATATAATCAATATTCATATAGCACTTAGCTATGAAAATACCATTTGAAAAAGATACATGAAAGATGCAATCAAGATCGTAAACATTCAAGGAATAAGGGGAGGTACCTTCCCAAAAATAGAATACTTTCTTTGTAATTTAGGAGATCACGAACCATGTCAACATGCCCAGTAACAGCTCGGCCCACTCGACAGGTCAAACCAACAACCATTCCTTTCCTGCTCCTTATGGCAGATATCCTATGTAAAGTACCTTCAATTCCTGCACGGTTGTCACCTCCAAACTCTCCTACAGCCCTCTGAGCATCCTCCAACTCTTTCTGTGAGATCTACGATATAAAAGATCCACAGAACAGGAAATTACAGTTGCAGTTTTGCATCTACTCACAATATTATGTTGTGCACTCATCAAGAAAAAAGGGGCTTACTATGGTTTTGAAGTATATATAAACATTAGTAAAGATCCATGAGCAGAAAGAAATTAGCAGCCAACCAGCAGAAGACTTGACACTAACATAATTTCTAACTTTACACAACAGACAAGACGACAAGACTAACGACACCACAATGGAATCATCTCTGATCTCTCTGTATTGCTACCTTTTCTTTACAAGGTATGGGTTGCACAATATTGACAAGGAAAGTATGTAATATTACACATTTCGGACAGGATGGCTGTCACATACCTCACTGTCCCGTAGATATTGGCCACCAGAGTCACCAAGGAAACGTGCTTCTGGCCGTCTCCCCAAATCCAGAATGACCTAATTGATGACTCATCAGTTGGGATCACATATGCATCCACAATATTTTCAGATGAATTCTGAGTAGAATGAGGCTTGTGATGGTTGAAGCCTTGAAGGAGTCAGGTACGTCTATCTCACCTCCAGCAGTTGGTCCTTTCTAGGTTCATTTTGCAGATTATCTCGCAAATCCCTCGGGAGAATCTGCAGAAGGAAGATTAATACCCTTTGATCAATCGATCTATTTATTTGTATAAAAAACGTCAAAAACTACTAGCCCAAAGCACGAATCTGATAAATACTAGATTACTAGTTTAGTCATCAATACAAGTAGCAAATGATATTGGAACATAGACTGTCCACGGGACACAGGATTTTTCTCCTGTGTTGAATTTGTTCGTCACTTCATCTTAGAAATACTTGTATGGCCTTTGCTATTGTACAGTACAAATAGGGATTCATATAATATAATGCCCAAAGTTCTGTACTAATTTGGACAGTTTTTTCAGTGCTCCCAAACCTCCAGCTACTAGCACCGTACGGCATAACATACAACGTCTGTGCAATTATAGGGGGGAAAAAGGCAGATCCAAAAGGGGTGACGGACGATGACCTGCAGGAGCTCAGAAAGGTCGTCCTCGACGATGCCTCCCCATCCGGTGCCAGCCTCAGCGGCGCAGCGAGCGACGCCGGGCCAGGCCCTGCCCCTGCGCCGCCGCCTGAGCAGAGGATGCTCCGGAGGGAGCTTCGGGGTCGGGAGCGAGAAGAGGAGCAGGCGGCGTGCGGCACACGTGTCCATCGCGCGGCAAACTAATGCCGGCGCCGGCGGTGGCGCAGTCGCGCACAAGGGAGCGAGCGGCTGTGCCGTGTCCGGACGGGATGGATAACGTTTTGCTTCCCCTTTACCTTCGCGCGGTTTTTCTCCCCCCAAACTAAATGTGGGCCCAATTGCTTGAACAAAGTGAACATGGGCCTAACTTCTCTTGCGAATCGTCAGGGCCCAAAACACATCAGCCCGTTACAGGAAGAACCATAGGCAGCGCACTAGGGTTCGTCAAAAGAGCTCGCTAGTGTCCGGACGTCCTGACGGATGGGGCGTCGGGACGCCCGCGCTTGCAGTCTGTTTCTCGCGTTGTTTTGCGCACTCACGCGGGGCTCGTGTCGTCCCGAACGTCACCAGGATCGAGAAGACGGAGAGGGGCGGTAGATGCCCAACCAGCGCCGCCTAGAGGAGGAGACACCAAGGTGAGGTAGCAGAAAGCGAGGAGGGAGATGCAACACCTGATCTACTTTTGAAACATCCAGATGCAACACTTGCAACATACGTAAAACAGATGAAACACTTGAAATATGCATCTAAAACACTTGAAAAAACAACTGAAAAACACTTGAAAACATTGTAAAACATACACACAATCTAGATAAAACATTTGCAACATATGTGTGAAACATATACAACATCTAAATAAACACACTTGCAACATACGTCTGGAAAAACAGATGAAACCTTGGGAACAGAAGCTTGCAACATACGTGTACAACCATTGCAACAAATGCAACATCGCGATCTACTTTTACAATATCCAGATGAAACACTTGCAACATACCTCTAAAACACTTGAAACATACGCTTGCAACATGTGTTTTTCACCCTTCTTCTTCTTCTTCCCTACGATACAACGCACAACGGGGGATGGGCAGGCGGAGGGCAGCATCGTCGCGGCCCTTCCAGAGGGCGAGCAGAGGGGGCGGTGGGGACAAGCTGACTGGCGAGCTTTGGTCGCGCCGCGGGCTGCCGTCGTCGCATTCAGGTGGAGAGGGAGGTGGGGACAGGCCAGCAACGAGTGCAGGCCGCCGACGGGCTCTGGCAGGGAGGAAGGGGCCGTCCGCAGACGCAGGTGGCGAGCTCTGGCCTGGCGGACATGGGAAGAAGGGGCTGGTGGGGAGCTCTGGGCGTGCATGGGATGGGAAGAAAGGGCCGATGGCGGGCACTGGCCGGTGGAGGCGCCGCGGGGGACGGTGTGGGATGGAGGTGCCGCACTGTGGGATGGAGGTGTAGGGGAGTTTTTTAGAGCGCGTCTGGACGGGAGTCACGGGACGAACACCCGAGGCGTATCATTATTGTTTATCAAAAGGGCTACGGATAAGAATCATTGAATCCACAGTTATACCAGAAATTATATAGGATTATTATTTGACCCTCCTTGCGCCGAAAACAGGAAACCGGAGGATAGCTACACATTCATTTACACCCATACTTGTCAGGATGCAAAGCATGCTATATCTGGATCCAATACAAAATGTGTCATGTTGGATATTAAAGCATAAAAGATTCCATTGTAGCTACACATTCGGGCTTTCCGGAGAAGGCGAAGGATCCACAATTCCACACCATTACTTTCAACTTATCGTCAAGTTGTAGACCGCCGTTTCGATATCTCGTTGCACACGGCAGCTCCTATACCAGTAATGAAAAGGAAAGGGTATCATGCGACTAAAATCACCCAGACAGCAAATACTGAACTGTGTTTTTATAATGGTATAGATCCAATTAACTTTCTATTTAAGCGTAACAAACCTTATTGATGTTCTTCCACCATTCTTCATCAGCAACAAAAGCTCGATCCCTTTGCAGTGTCCCAGGGCAAACCCTTCCGGCCTTGACGGTTGAGTATCGAGTTCGATTGCTCGGAGCCAGAGTCCCAGACCTTGTGTTATCAAAACTAACCTCCTTTTGAGGAATCATTGGATTGGGTCAAAATCCATCAAAGAAAAATCATTCTTATATATTCAAGGCCAAAAAAATATATTTTTTCATTCATTTAACAAATTAACATAGGCCACTCGAAGCTACCTCAGTTACTGAAAGTCTATTTTTCTGACTGAGTGACGAGCTACAGGCTTTGCTGTTCTTCTCACATGCCCCCTTTCAAGAAAGAGAATCCAACAAACGAACGAAACAATTAATAAACAAAGTAACATGTCCAAGAGAATGAGTTCACATAGAAATATAATCTGAAACCTGCCACAGTCTATGCGCTATTACAAGTACAACCAAGACCATAGCAAGCACTTGTAACTTGTAACGTTCTAAAACAAATAGAGATAACATGGTCATCTGACTGCTGCTCACTTACAAAGTTGCAAACTTCGTCATACTCCTTCATAGAAAGTTAGAAACGCTGGACTGATTAGGGCCTGTTTGTTTCTTGCCCTCCGGCCCAGGCGTGCGCTCGCCCAGGCATCAATCGGAGCCCCGCCTGGGAAAGCTTCTCGCGCCAGACATGTTTCTTGGGATGTAATCCAAACAGGCCCTAACTGAAGGTCCAGATAATTAATGCCTCCTCCAACTCCGAGGCAAGCACTACATGACTAGGTCGACAAGCATACACACTATAAGGCCCGTCGTAAGCTTGCCTTAGGAGTAACTGGAACAAGGCTTTCAGTGTAAGAAGCAATGTCAAACCAGCGTACATTTTCCGGCCATTCATGCCCCAAGATGTCTTCATTGGGTCCAAGGTACCTTATGTCATCCATATCAAATATTCCATCTTCACGTGAAACGTCATATTCCAAATCATAATCAATGACCTGATTACCTACTCGCATAAGAATCCTACCGCTGGCAGGCAAGGCCAATGGATAGAATTTGTTTGGCAGATGTATTCCATAACGACAACTCCAATCAGGATTCAGAACATCACTTGTCATGAATATCAGTACTTGTCGCAAACCCAATATAAAGAGAGTAGCGCATAGCTCCCCGCCAAGCTCATTAAGATAAACATCTTTACCTTCATCTTCAACCATATGATATATGTTGGGGAGCAATGAAGTGACACCAAATGTTTCGTCAACAAGGCTGAAGCGGAGTAACCCCTTCGGATCAGGGTATTGATGATTACTCTTCTTATTGATAAAATAGAATAGATACCCCTTGTAGTGTGTGGCAGTCTGTGGACACACGATAGGGTAGGGTGGATCAACCAAGGTTTCCCTCCATGGGTCCTCTTCACCATTAATGGTGAAAATCTCCATCCCCATTGCAACCATCTCAGAACTGCGGGAACGATAGAAGGAGCGCGCAACCTTATGTTTGCCGGTGGAAGTGTCAAGGCCCAAGCCAACCGGGAGGCAGCCGCCATGTTTGTGCTGGCTTTGGGTCAGTGCAATGGCATCCCTTGTGGCCGGATTGAAGACATAGGCCTTGGTGTCGGTGGGCAGCAGCATTAGGCCATCACAGTGCGCCATTGTGGACACTTTCCTGAACTCAGTAGCAGGGAAATGCCTCCCGTAAACAAGTGTTTGAGTACCCCTCATGTTCATGTCTTCTTCTTGTAAAGATCATTGGTAGAAGCGGATGTTGGTGGAGAAAGCCCCGACGACAGGACCCCGTTCAACAAGAACCTGGGGTGTGACGAGCAAGGATGACGACGGGTTTCGGTGCTGACTCTCCTTGGAACACTGCAGATGTGCAAGCACAAAGGAAGGGTCGGAGATGATGGCGAGCCACGCCTTGCTGACGGACTTGAACCTCGCCAGGGATTGCACAGGCAGGCGGATTAAAATCTCCCACACCATCTCGTCCGGCAACTCGAAAGTCTGCTGATGGGCCCTCTTCTTGTTCTTCCTCTTCCTCGTGTATACCTTCAAGTCCATGCCGCCAAGAACATGCAGCAATGAACAATGACTTAGGCCTTGAGTCCATACCCTCAAAATTCCAAGTTTTTTCACTCTCTCTCCATCACATCAATTTTTAGCTATTTACAAGGAGCATTAAATGTAGGTAAAAAAAATAACTAATTGCACAGTTTAGTTAGAAATCACGAGATGAATCTTTTGAGCTTAGTTGGTCCATTGCAATATTTACCAAATAAACACGAAAGTGCTACTATTCATCGGGTTGAATTTTTTTGCAATCTAAACATGGCCTTAATTGATGAGTGGTAGTAATAATCTCTATATATGCAACGCACGGTATTGGCTTGTTTGGCTATGCTGAGTGCGGATGGTTCCTAGTCGAATTCGAACACTACCTATCTAGGTTGATTTCCTCTGTCCGGAGTCCTTCCGGGAAGCAGGATCTTCGGTCTTAATGGGATTTTGTTCTTTTTGCTAAAAGAAAGAAAGAAAAAAATGAATCTTTTTTTTCGAGAACATGCTTAGCACATGTTTCGTTAAGAGAGAGTTTTTTTGCAGCTTTGTGTAACAGGCACGGCGAGCTGCCGGCTTCACACGGAAACAGAATAGGCTCAGCGCTACAAGCAGGATTCAGTAAATCGATTAAAAAAATTGTTTTTTTTAAAAAATGAATCCATCATAACTGAGAGGTCAAAGTGACTCAGATCCGTAAAATGCGTTTTCTAATAGGATAATATAAAGATATGGAAAATAAAAAGAAAAATCTGGTAGATGCATAACATATAAGGTCCCTAATTCCATTACCGATATCGTTCGCGCGATTCAAACACGGTGAATAGACCGCGTCTGCGTGGACTGGTTCATTTCCTTTTCCTGTATGACGTGTTTTTCTTTCCTTTTCCATCGCGCCACAGTGAACTACAGACCACGCCGTCTTAACACACACATGCAACTGGATTTTTTGTGTGCGACATGTACGGACGTGTCTTTTTCATTCGCTTTTACTTTCACGTGTACAACCTGTATAAACTTAGCATTTTCTTTCTTTTTTCTATTTCTCTTACTCTACTCTTGAGTGATTCATACCTGGTCATGATCATGGACTTACGTCCATTCATTTTTTCTACTTTTTTCTTTTCTCTATCACATTTTATTTTC